TGGCTCTTTTTTTTTTTTTTTTAAGGCATATTGCTATATAGCCCAGGCTGTTCTGGAACTCATAATTCCCTGCCTCAGGCCTCTCCAATGCTGGGATTACAAGCGTGCACTAGCATGCCTGACACTTGACACATGTGCTGGTTAGTTTATGTCAACTTGACATAAGCCAGAGTCATCTAGAAAGAGGAAAAGTCAATTGAAAAAATGTCTCCATAAGATTGGCTTCTAGAACTGGGTGCAGTGGGGCACACCTGTAATCCCAGCACTCAGGGAGGCAGAGGCAGACGGATCTCTGTGAGTTGAAGGCCAGCCTGGTCTACAGAGTGAGCCCAGGACAGCTACACGGAGAAACCCTGTCTCAAAAAAAAAAAAAAAGATTGGCTTGTAGGCAAGTCAATGTGGAGCATTTTCTTGACTAATGATTGATGAGGGAGGACCCTTATCCCTCCCACTGTGGGCAGTACTACCCCTGGGCAGGTAGTCATAGGTTGTTCAAGAAAGCCAGCTAAGGAGCTGGAAAAATGACTCGAGAGTTAAGAGTCTTTAGTGTTCCTGAAGAGGATCAGAATTCAATTCCCAGCGCCTATATGGTGGCTCACAACTGCATATAATGCCACTTCCAGAGGGTCCAACACCATCTTCTGAGGTTCACGTACTCATGCACACATGTGGTGCCACATGCACATTCGGGCACACACATAGATATAAAACATTTTTTAAGGCAGGCTAGGCAAGCTGTAGAGAGCGAGCTAGTAATCAGATTTCCTCTGTGGTCCCTGCTTTAGCTCCTACATCCTGGTTTCTGCTTGAGGTCCTGCCCTAACTTCCCTCCAGGATGAACTATGATCAGGGTATACAAGCCAAACAAACCCTTTCCTCCTCAGGTTGCTGATGGTTATGGTATTTATCACAACAATACAAAGCAAACGAGAACAGGAATTGGGTATTGTATGAACGGCCGGGCCATGTTGGAGGGACGAATGAAGAAAGATGTGAGGGCTTTGAGCTAGAAAAGCTGCTGAGTGCTCACAGCATATTGATCTGCCGTTGTGAGAGGTTAGAAGATAATGGTGAGAGCCGTGTAGATGACGGAGGCCTTGTGAAGTCACAAAGACTATCAGGACTGTTAATGTAATATTTTTATATTAAGAATCCGTCGTTTCTGATCATCTGGGCCTAAAGAATAAGCTATGATTAACCACAGACCAGCACCACTGATTTGGGGGGGGGGGGCGTGAAAGCTGCAGAATTGAAGAGGTTATAGAGGCTGAGGCTTGGCACTAGCTCTCAGGGTTGGAGCCCCTGAAGGGAATCCAGGAGATGCCGTTGGTAAAGATACAGCCTCATCAAGATTGACCTGTCTGCCTCCTAAGTGCTCGGACTAAAGGCAGGTACCACCACACCTGGCCTGCTTTCAGGGATTCTGAAGCCTTCTGACTTCTTCATGGAGCAGGCATGCATGTGGTATACATGCATGCATCTATACGTGCAGGTATAAACAAATCTAAAAACAAAAACTAAAGTTATACTATGCCTTTGTACGTGTGTTGTGTGTGTGTTTGTGTTTGAGACGGCGTATGATGGCTTGAATAAGAACGGCTCCCAGAGGTTCATATATTTAATTGCCACTGATAAGGGAGCAGCACTACTTGAGAAGGATCAGGAAGGGTAGATTTGTTGGAGTAGGCGTGGCCCTGTAGTAGGAAGTGTGTCACCGGGAAAGAGTGTGAAGGTTCAAAAGCCCCAGCCAGTCCCAGTGTTGTTCTCTCTCTTCCTGCTGCCTGCAGGACTAGATCTAGAACTATCAGCTACCTCTCCAGCATCATGCCTGCTTACCTGCGACCGTGCTTCCTGCCATGATAACAACGGGCTAAGCCTCCGAAACTGTAAGCAAGTTCCAATGAAATGTTTTCTTTTATGAGAGTTGCCTCTTCACAGCAAGACAGTGACCAAGACACAGGGCACAGTATGTGGCTTTTGCTTCCCTGGAACTCACGATGTAGACCAGGCTGGCCTTGAATCCACAGAAATACATCTGCCTTTACCTCCTGAGTGTTGGGATTAAAGGTGTGCACCACCATGCCTCGCTTATACTATGCTTTTTATTGTGTTATTAACATGAGATATTAGGGATAAATCAGAAAGGAAATGTTACTGGTTTAATAGTGATATGTTTGTTTTTCAGCAGGACAAGAGGTCAAATGTGCTGGTTAGTTTTTGTCAACTTGACACAAGCTAGTGTCATCTGGAAAGAGAGGGTGTCAACTGAGAAAATGTTTCCATCAGGTTGGCTTACAGGCTATCTAAGCGGCATTTTCTTGATTAAGGGTAGATATGGGAGGGTCCATCCCATTGTGGGTAGTGCCACCCTTGGGCATATGGTCCTAGGCTGTATAAAGAAAGCCAGCTGAGCAATCTGTAGCAGGCAAGCCAGTAAGTGGCATTATAGTCTTTGCTTTAGTCCTGTCTCCGGGTTCCTGCCTTGACCCCTGCCCCGGCTTCTCTTGATAGACTACAGAGTGAAAGCTGAAATAAAGCCTCTCTTTTCCAAGTTGATTTCCTCCTCAATATTTCATCACACCGATAGAAAGCAAATTAGAGCAGAACCTAATTTCCAAAGCCCACAGGAGATTGAAAACACTATTCTCCTGTTTAAAAAAAAAAAAAAAAAATTCAACATGGAAACAGCAGAGTTCAGCCAAGTATGGGAATCCTCTGATTACCATGTCTTGTGTAATCACACAGGTCACAACCTAGGAACCCAGCTCTAGGAAAAGAGTTTCCAAAACAAGCTCAACTCCCTCTAATTTATTAGAGGTCATGTGTATGTGTGTGTGTGTGTGTGTGTGTGTGTGTGTCTATCCACTTTGTTTTGTGAGGGGTTTTTGCTATTGTTGTTACATCCCTTCATTTGGGAAGTGGTGCAAATATGCCACTGAGCATAACGGTCAGAGGACAACTTGCAGGGGCCAATTCTCTCCTTCCATCACATTGCTTCCAGGGATCAAAGAGGTCAGCATGCTTGGCACCAACTGCCTTTACCTACTGAGTCATTACACCAGCCTCACCTTCTTTTCTGAGACAGTCCCTCACTGGACTGGAATTCACCAACTAGGCTGTGTAGCTGGGCTTTTTGGGTACTTCACTGAGTTCTTGTATTACCACCCTTCCCCATCTCAATCCCTTCCAACCCCCCCCCCCAACACTAGGTAATCGAGAAAGAAGGTTGGGGGGGAATATTGTAGCTCTTTTTACACTACTTCCTGCCTATTAGGGTCATCGAGTTCCTAGGGGCAAATTTAATCTCCGTAATCAGAATATATGCAACCAACAACCCAGCAATCCAGCAATCCAGCAACCCAGCAGCAGCAGCAGCAGGGGCAGTGGTAGGGAGAGCACAGCCACTACAGGCCCATTGGGGGCTCTCACATTTATACCCTCTCCAGAGTCCCCAGAATTCCAGACGCAAACTATCTGCAGCTGACAAAAATCACGTCCCTCCTGGAGCATGAGACAAATCATAGTTGTGGCTGCTGTGGACGATCTGCAGCAGCCCCATATCCCACACCTGGGATTAAAACAAAAAACATATTCATATAACATAACTGGTTTTGTTTTGCCTACAGCACTTGATATTCCCAGGCGGTCTCCCATCCAAGTACTAACCAGGCCCGAGCCTGCTTAGCTTCTGAGCTCAGATGAGATTGGACACATTCAAGGTGGTGTGGCTATAGACCAGACCATAACTGGGTTTTGAAAGAAACCAGAATCCTCACTACAAGGCTTCCTGGCCAGAAAGCCCCCAGAATCCACCTATCTCTTCCTCCTTGGCATTGGGATTACAAGTGTGTCCCTGCCTTTTTTAAAATGTAGGTTCTAGGAGTTAAACTCAGGTCCTTATGCTTACAACAGTAAGCGCCTTACTGATTTAGTCATCTTGCCAGCACACAGAGTTGCCTTTTATTCATATATGTTATCCCAAGTAAAAAAGTGGGATTTCTTCTAGCTTTATGCCTAAATTCTTAGACCAATGTAGCTTTTTGTTTTTATCCTCTCTCTCTCTCTCTCTCTCTCTCTCTCTCTCTCTCATACTTTGTTTTTGAGTTCTTCATGGGTTTTTCTCCTATCTCCTAACAATATCTTCTCCTGGCTCAGCTGTCACCAAATATCTTCTCTTCTCACTCTGCTAGCTCAGTTCTTTCAACTGTCTCTTATTTTCACTCAGCTCGGCCCCTTTTCTTCTTCTCTCTAGTCCTGCTCTCTCTTCTTCCTGAACCAGCTGCCTTTTCTGACCCTACACTTGCCTACTTCCCAATCCTGCTCCCAGCTCTCAGCCTCTGCTGGCTTTTTCTATCCTCTCCTGTACCCAGACTTCCAAGCGGACTGCCACTGAAGGGGACAGGGTCCTTTAAAGGGCCAGGCATGAAAAAAATAAATCACACTGCAGACTACTGAGCTCTTTTTTAAATAAATCTCTGGGGCTATAGAGAGGGTTCCGAGGGTAAGAGTACACACACTCTTGCAGATGATTCAGCTTCAGTTCCTAGTACCCAACATGTCAGCTCACAACAATTGCCTATAACTCCAGACCCAGAGGACCAGGTGCTGTCTGCTGATCTCTGTGGATACTAGTCATACAAAAAAAAAAAAAAAATTTAATCAAATATTTTTAAAAGAGAAAGAAAATGCTTTGGGAGCCTGGCATAACTGCTATAGCTATTCTTTTACTGTTCGTATACTGCATGTGAAAAAGCTTGCTGCCTCTCCCTCTTTGTCCCTCAGTTTACCCAGGATCCCTGTAAAAAGGGGACTGTAGCTTTAGTCTAAAGTTCACCAACAGGAAAACTTCCGTGAGCCTGATAAGGACCAGGTTTAATGAGCCATGAGGTCCCCACCTACCACCGCCCCTCCCCATCTGGCACCAACCAAAGCTTCGGACAAGCTAGGAACCCCCGCAACACACCCTGCCCCGAGCCCTTTGCCCTGGGTCCAGAGTCTGACTCCTACCTACTTATGGCAATGAAAACACCTAGAGGCCACATGCAAGAGACGTCCCTTGTTTTTCAGGTACTGAGAATCATAATCCCTAAGTCCTGGCAGTTCCTGGGATCACAAGGAGAGCAGAGTGGAGGCTTGGGGAGGGGCGCCCACACCAGATTCTGTGGCCTGCGTGCTGCCTAAGAGAAACAGGTAGGTAATTTGTCAGAGGCCAGAGACTGAAGCAACAGTTTTTGCTTTTAGCGTAGACAGTGCTGGGGATCCAGTGTCGGGAAGTCTTGGGAAGAGATTCCCCAGAAGAGAAAGAAGAGTGTCAAGTGTGGCCCCGAGCTGACCGTTTACTCCTTCCGCGTTCAGGAGACCATGACAGCTGCAGTAACACTTGAAACAATGGCCAGTGGAGAGGAATATGAGCCGAGGAACTGTGTGGTGTGTGGAGACCGAGCCACAGGCTATCATTTCCATGCCCTGACTTGTGAGGGCTGCAAAGGCTTCTTCAGGTGAAAACTTTCTCCCCCATGGAAATAACCCCCACAATCCTACCAGTCACCTTTAAACACTGGCACATCTCCAGGTTTACCAAGCTCTGATACTCTCGCAGCTAAGCTGGACTATCCTGTGTCTAGCACCCTCGAGCTCGCTGACCACAACACTCTATGAAACTGGTAACATAGTAACAAGCAGGCCAACCAGGTGTCCTGGAGACACAGCCTATCAGTCGAGAGCACTTGCTTAGCACATCCTGTCTGCAAAGTACCAAGTTGACACTACACAATGCGGGTTCCTGAGTGACTTTGTGTTCCCATGAAAATGCTCCAACTGCCTCTGAAGACCTCTGAGCCCAGCTCAGATTAGCCTGTGGCTAAATCAATTAGTCTCTTAGACCGTATCCTTTCAGCCTCGCCTTCTACCCACCTGCATGCTCACTGTCATCTCAAACCCTGCAGAGTCTGTCTCTCTCTCTCTTGCAGACGAACAGTCAGCAAAACCATTAGTCCCATGTGTCCATTTGCTGGAAGCTGTGAGGTCAGCAAGGCTCAGAGACGCCATTGTCCAGCCTGCCGGTTGCAGAAGTGTCTAAATGCTGGCATGAGGAAAGACAGTGAGTTGAGCCCCTTAGCACCCCAGGAATCCATTGACTGCGCCTCTCTGCTTTTTTGTATCCCTAATGTAGCTCATGGTCCACAGAGCAGGCAGATTAAGCTTTTTGAAACTAATCAGATTAGGCCTCTGTTTTCAAAGCTTCTAGTCTCTCTTTTTCAAAATGTTTCTTTTTAATGTGTGTAAGCGTTTGCCTGCATATACGTCTGTGCGCCATGTGCGCAACTGGTACCTACAGAGGCTACAAGAGGGTATTGGATCCCTTAGAACTGGCATTACAAATGGCTATGAGGTTGCCATGTGAGTACAGGGAGGATGTTTTTTGTTTTGTTTTGTTTTGTTTCTGTTGTCCTAGCTGTCCTGGACTCACTTTGTAGAACAGGCTGGCCTTCAACTCACAAAGATCCACCTGCTTCTGCCTCCTGAGTTCTGGGATTAAAGATGTGCCCCACTACGCCTGGCTCAAGGGTACAGGAAATTTAACCCAGGTCCTCTGCAAGATCAGCCAGTGCTTTTAACCCTGAGCCATGTCTCCAGCCTCTCCCCCACACCAATCTATTTTATTTATTTATTTTCGTGATAGGTTTTCTCTGTGTAGCCTTGCCTGCCCTGGACTCACTTTGTAGACCAGGCTGGCCTCGAACTCACAGTGATCCACTTGCCTCTGCTGGAATTAAAGGCATGTGCCACCACGCCGGGCTACCGATCTCTGTTAAGGTAGATGATTTTATTCATATCCCCCTTCCAACTCTCCCTCTTAACCCACTTTAACACATCCCGGCCACACTGACACAGTGCTATCCTTGAACAAATGAAGCACACTCCTTTCCTATTTGCCATTCCTACCACCTGGAACTTCCCTCCCTTAGATATTCACATGGCTTGCTTTCTCTTTTCTATGGCTTGAACACATAGTACCTGTCACCTTCTACGTACTTCTTGGTTAGCCACTGCTGCTGCTTCTGTGCCAGGTAACTGTGCTATGCTCCCAGCGGAAGCTGGTCTCTTACAACTTTAGTTGCCTGAGTCAGTCAGCTAAAAAGTAGTCACAGTTCAGAATCAAGCCTGTGTGCCTCTCTCTTGCTTTTCCGTATCACACTCCTTTCCGACCTAGAGCAGTGGAAAGGACACGATAGCAGCCAAATGACCTTGACCAACCTGTATCACTTAGTTTATGACTGTGGAAGTCCTACTGGTGTCTGTGCTCCTGAAAACTGTGAACTCTGCCCTGCGTGAGTTAGAATTGCTATATCCAGTGACACATAGCCTCAGAACCTTTGCGATGACGATGCTATGCAAATACAAAGTGATGTTTTCAATATCAAGACCCTTCTTCAATGTTCCCAAGGAGCCAAACATCTTACACGCTCCCCACTCCCTTCTTTACCCTTCTCTTCTTTCCCATGGTGCACTGTGTGGTACTGCAGTGTATCACAGACAAATGTGAGGTTGGTGGAAGTGTGCAAGGAGGCACTCCCCTGCCGCCTGGACACAATAGTTCAGTGAAGTCCAAGGAAGCCTCAGAAACCCTTTCTTCCTTGGTCCTTTCTTGTATGGGGAGACTGAACAGGCCCAGCTCAAGGACTGGCAGAAAGCTGCTCTCTGCTGCTCTCAACAGCTCTGACACCTTTCTTGCCTGGCAGTGATCCTGTCAGCGGAAGCGCTGGCACTGCGGCGAGCCAGGCAGGCACGGCGGAGGGCACAGAAAGCATCCCTGCAACTGAGTCAGGAGCAGAAGGAGCTGGTCCAGACCCTCCTGGGGGCCCACACTCGCCATATGGGTTCCATATTTGACCAGTTTGTGAAGTTCAAGGTGAGAACTTACAGGATTCGGCCTGGGTGCCCAAGGAGGTGGCCTGAGGGAGGGGCTAATGGGCCCAGAGAACAGATCTCCAGAACCCTAGGGTGGGCAGGTGCCTTGGGAAGGGGAAAAAACAAAACAAAACACATCTCAAATGATTCTGGTGAAGCCTCGAGGACAGCCAAGGCTGAGGCCTCTCTCACTCATGCTCTGACCTCTACAGCCTCCAGCTTTCCTGTTCCTCCATCACCGGCCCTTCCTGCCTCTGGTCCCCGTGTTGGCTCTGCTCACACACTTCGCAGATGTCAGTACTTTCATGGTGCAGCAGATTATCAAGTTCACCAAGGATCTGCCCCTCTTCCGGTGAGTAGCGCATCGCCTTTTGGGAAGGAAGTGCTTCGTAAATCACACCAGGATCTGAGTAGAGTCGCTTATCCCTTAGCCTTGCTAAGCGCTCGGTCTTACATTTTCAGCTTTATTTGCATCAGTCAGGCCTTTTGGATGTACAGACTTAAGTCTAAAGTACCCTTGTTTTCTGCCCCTCACAGGTCCCTATCCATGGAGGACCAGATCTCCCTTCTCAAGGGAGCGGCTGTGGAAATATTACACATCTCACTGAACACCGCTTTCTGTCTTCAAACACAGAATTTCCTCTGTGGACCTCTTTGCTACAAAATGGAAGACGCAGTTCATGGTGAGATGGAAGAGCAGTACAGGGGATGGATCCTTAGGGCGTGAGGTAAAGAGCAATGCCCCGGAGGAGGCTCCTAAGCCTACCACCTCTCACAGCAGGGTTCCAGTACGACTTTATGAAGGTGATTCTTCGCTTCCATATAACACTGAAACGACTACGGCTCCAGGAGCCTGAGTATGTGCTCATGGCTGCCCTGGCCCTCTTCTCTCCTGGTGAGAATCATCCAAAAGCCGAGAAACTCTCAGCCCCTTTAATCGAGCTCTGACCACCCAGCTTTCAACGTATAGAGTGGGTCTACACTACCCTCAGCCCCTGTTCAGTACGAGGCTCCCCACCCATGTCCTTCCCGGTCTCCTATCTCAGACAGGCCTGGAGTTACCCAGAGGGAAGAGATCAATCGGCTACAAGAGGAGATGGCACTGATTTTGTACAACCACATTATGGAACAACAGTCAAGGCTCCAAAGTCGGTAGGTAGGAGGCTGGGGACTTAGGGTCTGCACTGTGGGAAGGCAGGGATCTGAGAAACACTGAGCTTGGGATGAATGAATTTTACTATTGCTTCCTTCGGGAAACCAGGTACTTAAGAATCTAGACCTTCCCTTCGGCCATCCCATCATGCATAGTTCCAGGATCCAAATTGCAGGGACTGCTGTTTCATCTCACTTTTCCAAGATTTTTTTTTATTATTATTATTTAGTAGAGATGCAAAGTAGGAGCTCATAGCCTGTGTGTAATAGCATTCCTGAGATTGGTAACATCTATCACCTCACCTCTCCAACTTTTCCAAACTAAAACAAAAATGTCAAAGTCTTGCCCATTCTTTCTCTTCATTGTATCAGTTCCTTGAAGTTTTCGGTCCCATTGACGTTATGTTCTCATTCACAGTTTCATGAACAGAGCCTCTAGGTAGTTCGAAGTCCAGGCTAGGAAGTTTATACTGCTTTCGTTCTGCTCACTCCTTGATCAATCAATTTGCTAAGAGGGAGAAGCTTTATCCCACAGAACAACACACCCGCCTTCTAGAACTCAATCTAGGAGGCTCCTTGTTCAGATTCTACACAGCTGACATTTTAGCCAAGTCTAGTACTCTCTTTGCACTTGACCTCAAAGCCCTGGGTTCAGGAAAAACTAGGCACAAAAAAGGAAGACGGTATTAATCTCCCTTCTTGGAGATTTCTGAAAATATAGTATGTGCCATCCAGAGCATGATTTTCTAATGTATAAACTTAGCCTCTCTGAGGGGCGGTTCAGGGGATGAGGCTCTCAAGACAAGACGCCCAGCTGCCTTATCTCCCTGCTACTTTCTCCAAAGGTTTCTGTACGCGAAGCTGATGGGCCTGTTGGCTGAGCTCCGGAGTATAAACAATACATACTCATACGAAATACATCGCATCCAAGGACTGTCTGCTATGATGCCGCTGCTTGGGGAAATCTACAGCTGAGGCCCTGGCTCAAATTCTTCCACAGACCCCCTCGGATACGGATACACTGGGCTGGAACAGGGAAATTGCTGGTACCCAAGATGGGAACCAGCAGAAAGGGCTCAGTGGTGGCAATGAAACGCTGAACAGCAACTGTCTCTTTGTGTGGTCATCCATCGGTGGGTTATGGAGGGGGTGGAGGGCAGAGGGTGGGGGGTTGGGGTGACCATTGGGCCAAAGTTGTTCTCCGGAAACACGGAAGATGGGAAAGAAGGAAGGGTCAGGACTAGGTCGTAAAGTTCCTTCTGGGGATGGGTGGGCCCCTTCTTTGGTCTTTGCCTGACCAAAGATTTAGCTCTTTAACCCTACTTTCCCAACCCGGGGAGGCTGAGGAATGGAAAAACGGGAAACATGGGATAGGAAACTTTTTTTTCTTCTCCCTATTTTCATGCAGATTTTTCTGCTCTGAAGAACGAGCTGATATCTTAGTCAAACAAAAATAATGAAGAAAGTAGGGTGAGGGGAGCCAGACATATCCCTTAATCCTTCTTTAGTTCAGAGTCATATAGCTTGTGGAAAATTGTATTGGGGCTGATGGCAGAATTGGGAACCTCAAACCATGGCCTACTTGGAAAATGACTGTGAGGCAGTTCCAGTTCTGAAGAGGACATCGTCCTGTCCCCCACTCTGCCCATGGGATCTAGAAGTCATCCAGCAAGGTAGGCCTGGGAGGGACCTAGCTAGGCCCCGGCCCTCGCTCGTGCATCTGACTCAAAGGTTCCAGCTGCTGTGGAGGTCGCCTCCAGGACAACCTCAGCCCACAGTGATGCTGAAGCCACAATGGAATCTGTTGCGCCAGTGATTGAGGAAGGCTCCGAGGGCTAGGGTGACAGGAAGGGGACGCATCTTCTTCTCCAGCACAGCACCAACACACCAGTTACTATCCACCAAGCCTGCCAGGGGAAAGATTGTTGACCTGGCTGTTTAGCAGGACTCAGAGTAAGGAGTCAAGGAAAGTAAAGTAGAGCCTGCCCCCCACCCCCCTCCACAGCCCCATACCCCTCACCAACTCTAAATGTTACAACAACCCTCACCTCTGAACACCATATCGGCCTGGGGCAGAGTCAGGTGGTAACCAAAGGAGAAGGTTGTATCTTGTAGCCTTGTATTTGCCTCAAACTCCACTCCAACCTGAACCTGAGAAGCAAGGACAGAAAAACGAGAGGACCATCAGTCACCATGACTACCAGAGGAGTTCTGACAGGGCATCAGCAAGCTAGAACATTCACATGTGTGAAAAGGTCTACTAAGCGAGGGTAGGAAGACCAATAGACCAGGAGCCTGGGGAGATTGGAGGAGCGGGAGATCCGGACTGGTTTACTGGGTTAGCGAATGAGCTCAGCCATCTCACCTGTTCATTTGCCTTGTGGTAATAACTCGCGTGGGCCCCACCTGACCCAACATTCAGTGTGGCTACCCAGTGTACAGCTGGGGGAGTGGGGGGAAGGAAGTACAGAGGGAGAAGATGGTTACTACGGTAAATACAGGCAAGGAACCCCCCCCAAAAAGCCCCGAGTCGTGCCTCCTCACCACCATTTTGCTTGTTCCTGTATGTACCTGAGTACTTCCCAGCCAGAGTCAAGATGGTGCCCTCTTCACCTGGTCGCCGGTGATAAACTAGTTCTCCTCCTAGCACCAACCGATGAGTGATGCTCTGCAGGAAGTGAGCAACCATGATCACTGTGGGAGAGCGAGGAGACAAGAGTCAGGTTTACTCTCTTACTGTCCAGTCATCCCTACCCAAGCTTGTCCAGAAAGTACCGTTTATAATCCCCAAACTGCGCTGAAGATAAAATAGCACGATTGACTTTTTGTTGTTGTTGTGTTTTCCTAATGGACAGGCAAGAACTCTGTCCCAGTTCCCCACCTGATTCCCCAATCAGGTCTGGATTTCCCAGGGTCAGAGTGGCTGTGTAGTCATCTCCCCGATACTCGCCATCAAACTGCCACGTCAGGAACTTGGCCTGCTGTGTCTGGGTGGGGACAGTAAGAAATTAAATACCCTTCCCTCTTCTAACTTCCGACATTGCCTCTGCTCCTCCCCCTGTGTCCCCCAAGGCAGGATACCCATGGAGGAGAGAGAGAAGTGCCTCGGTGGATGGAGGCGGGAACTGTGGGTCACCTGGAAGACAGCCTTAGCTCGCAGCCGCTCTGCCAACAGAAGCAAGACCTGGGCGTTGAGACTGCCGCTGCTGTCCATATCCCCCACCACAGTGGGGAACACCTGTGAAGGGGTGTAGACAGTAAAGCTGAGATGAGTAGGTGGCTTTATTCACGGAAACATGGACACAAGAGAGTTCAGTAACGTCACACAGTGCCCCCTAGTGGACGCGCCAAAGACAAACTCCAGCATCCCTGCACGGGGAATAGTTAACTTCTCTATCCTCTCCCATTCAGAAGAGGCACATTTCCTCCTCCTCAAGACCTCCGTGCGGATCCCTCACCTCTGTGGGGCTAAGCTGCCAGTCCCCTGCATAGGCGGCATGGAGGTGATAGCCTGGCAAGCCCAGTGCACTCATGTGCACGGTATGAGACACCTGAGGGGGAAAGAGACAACGGAGAACATAGCATTCTACTTCACTTCAGTTCCGTATCCCGCCCTTCATCTTTTTCCCATCCAGAGAGCCTTTTAAAAACCTCAAGCTAAGCCGCGAGGTGGTGGCGTACGCCTTTGATTCCAGCCCTCTGAGGCAGAGGCAGGCCTATCTTTGTGAGTTTTAGGCCAGCCTGGTCTACGGCATAAGTTTCAGGACAGCCAAGGCTACACAGAGAACTGTCTCACAAAACAAAACAAAACACACTTCAACTCTTTAGAGGGTCACTGGAATTTTAAGCAACAAGTCCCCCAGGCAAAGGAGGTAAAAGGGAGCCCACATCTTCCCTCATTTGTCCCACATAGCCTGGCTAAGACTGGAGTGAAAGGTGTGAAGAACAGGATCCAGGGACAAGCAGGGAGGAGCAGTAGGAAGGGGCCAGAGAGTGGGAGCACCTGGAAATGGCTGCTCAGAACCTTGTTGACAACCAGCTTCACGCCCTCCATCTGTGCTGGGAATACATCTGGAGGGAGTGAGGAGAAGGGAAGGAACAGCAGAAATAAGGACCCCTAACCAAGGAGATAGGTTCCCCTTTCAGTCCCATATGAAGCCCTGGAGGAATTGACCTCCTTTCAAATCCTGCAACAAAATGCTCCACTCTGAACATCTGATCCTTCCTGAGTGCTGGATGCTCCAGCCGTGATCTCCCCTTTCTGTTTACATCACTGGACATCAGCATTCAAGGTCCTCCCCTCCTCTGCCCCTCCAACCTGAGACACCCAAAGGCTCAGTGAGGTCTCACCTTTGCACAACCTGTGCAGCTCATCGAAGCTCCCGGGGCTTGGCAGCGGTTCCTCTCGACGGGGGCCCCGGCGGGGTAAGGTCCCCATCGGTGCCAGGCCCAGGGTGTTCCCCATTTTAGTCCAGAGGACAGGGAGGGGTCTGGGTTAGGTTGGGAAAACAATCTATTGCCCCCTCTATCCCCCACGGGCTCCACCCCCCATCATCAGGCTCCCCGGTTTCAGAAACTTCCATACAGTTCGATGCTAGACCTGCAAAAGGAACAGTAGGGGGACAGCGCATCTATGGGAAAATTGAATCCCAGGCACATTCCCGCCCCATCGTTGATCCCTCACCCCCACCTGTCACCCATGTCCGCTCCCCCAGTATCTAGTCTTACCCACGACCACAGGCTTCAGCTAACGTCCTAGTTTCTCTCTTCCTCATCCCACGTCCCAAGGTTCTGCTCGCAATGGAAAATGAGCCCTTACCATCTCAGACCATCCTGCTGCCCCTTTCCCCTAGGCACACCCCGGTCATCTTGATGGGGCAGCCATCTTGCGTAATGGCAGAACTACAGCTTCAGCCTGTATTCCCAGCATAGTCGCAGGCGCCATCTTGGAACTGGGCAAAGGAAGCGCTCAAAGACCCAGCCCACCCAATGATGAAAAAAGGTGCCTCAATTTCCCAATGACCAATGGGAGAGTAGGAAACAGAAGAGTGGCAGGCCTGACGGCCCCAGAGCTTCAGTCCGGTGCTGCAGTGGCGAGTGGGAGTTTGTGGGTGGCCCTTTAGACTTGGGTCGAAGGCCGCCTCACTAAGATCGCCCAGCCTCTTCAAGGTCGAAATAAACTTGTGAGCATTCAAGACACTAGAGGGAGCATTTTGTCGCTTGGACCCCTGGAGCGCCTTAAACCGGAAAAATGAAACTAGAGTTTGAGTTTGGAGACGTATTTTATGAAGGATTGCTAAAGACTGAGACGACGTAGTTCACAGTACCCTCCACCTTCCTGAAAGCCGCCAGGGAATCCCCACCGCCTTCCACACACTCCGAGGGCTGCTACTCACAAACACAGCTCTCTCCTAGACAACAGAACCCTACCACCACTCCCTCCTCCCTCCGGAGTTCACATGATGGCTGTGAGAGTGGGCAGAGGAGCGGGTCGTGGGCAGAACCAGTTCCTCAAGCAGCTGCCCTCACTAGTTGGTACTGCTTTGCAGAAAAGAAAAAGGAAATCTAGGAATACGACTACAGCCTGAAGTTACACTCTGTCCCCAGGGCCAGGGGCGAGCAGTCGTGTGGCGCTAGAGCTCCCCCACAAGACAGCTGGAAAGGGGCAAGATTTCATGGTTCTTGACTGGTTTCCACACTTCCTCCCCTGTACCTCTGGGTAATGTTACAGTGTACACAGGGTAAGCTTTAGGGACACACCGGTGAAAGATGGGAATGTTTTCAGTATCCCCTTAGCTGATTCCACTGGAGAGCTCTGAGCCTAGGGAATGTACCTCTGTCCTCCCACACAATTAGAGCTGGGACAGGGGCCAAGGCCTAACTGATAAGGTGATCAAATGACCGAACACCTTTGACCTTTATTTGGACAGAGCCTTGTAACTGCTGAGGTTGGGAGCAGGAGGGCAGAGACTTTTTCTGAATCTGTTTTGGGGGGATACTCATTAATTGATGAGAACCCATAAATGCAACATCAATGCTTTGGACTTTTATTTCATGATTATTTTAAAAGAACTCCATTGATGAAACCTTTCAAATGCAATAGTTCCAGTGCATTTTCTCTGTGTATCTTTGTATGTGAGGGGTGTGTATTGTGTGCTCTCATGCCCCCTTCCTATCTCATTGCACATTAACTCAGTCAGTTGTACCTGTTCTGACTTGTATTCCTGTAACCCCCATTCCCTACTACCTATTTCAACTCCTTTTCCATTTTTTTCTTTCTTTTCTCATCTTCCTTCCTTCCTTCCTCTCTCTCTCTCTCTCTCTCTCTCTCTCTCTTTCTTTCTTTCTTTCTTTCTTGGCAGGGTCTCACTATGCAGCCCTGGAACTCACTAGATCTCGCTGGCCTCACAGAAATCAGTCTGCCTCTGCCTCCCCAGTGCTGCCATGAAGGGACTGTGCCACCATGCCCAGATCCTTTTTCCATTCTTTTGTTCCCAAATACCTCTCTGCCAAATTTCTCTGAAGGGGTGTAGGGTTGGAGAGATGAAATCTATCCATAGTGAGCTAAAGATGACAAGGGCTAAGGGCTTCGTGTCAGAGCTTCCCAGAGAAATAACGTAGAACCCCGATTGCCTGCTATGCATAAACCCATCAACCCCAGGCCACGATCCCAAAAGAATAAATCATAAGCAGATCTTGGCCTACACTAGAGTTTATACCCTGCCTCTCTCTCATGTTAACACCAAAAGTGCTTCTTGCTTGTCCTTTTGCCCATCTCTCCAAATTGTTTACTCCAGCCTGATCTCTGCCCCTCTGGACCTGCCGTTCTCTGTATCACCTGACAGGGGTGGGGAGGCAGAAGCGTATATAACCCCTACCTCCAGTCAGGTCAGGAGCCAAGGACACGACACTGACCAGGTATGCTGAGGGAGCGAGAGATGTGGGGAGCATGCAAAGAGGATAGGGTTTGAGCTGTGGGAAGGGAAGGAAACAGGTTAGAATGAACGTCCAGGTGGGGGGATTCCCAGAGGGGAGCTAAAGCCCATTTGACTCCAGTGTCCGTTCCCACCAGCAGCGCTGTTCCTAGGCCGTGCTCCCACTGTTGCCATCATGAAAGTGCTTGCAATGTGTGTACTGCTTGCCACCATCTGTAGCCTTGAAGGTGAGTTTGTGATGTGGAGAAGCGAAACCGAAGGAAAGAAGGTGCTGGGTTCTTGGCTACGCAACTCTCCTGCGCTTCTATAACCAAGTGTGTGAACCAGAGGACTCGAGAGGAAAGCCAGTCTCTTTCTAAAGTCTAAAAATCAAAACAAAACAAAAAACTAGCGGGTCACCAATTTGGGAAGGGGATGAAAAGTGGGGTGGGTCCTGTGGGATGTGAGACTGGGATTCCTTGCTGGGAATCCAGATGAAAATATTGTGATATGTGTTTGTGTAGGGGCTTTGGTTCGGAGACAGGCAGAAGAGACGAGTCTGCAGAGCATGTTCAATCAATATTTTCAGACCATGGCTGACTATGGCATGGATCTGATGGAGAAGGCCAAGGGCTCCGAGATTCATACCCAAGCCAAGTAAGTCTCTGGGAGAGGGCCCAGGGGGCCACAGGACTGCTGAGAGGATAAAGATAGGAGTTCATGTGACTCTTAACTCAAGGGTTAGGGTTCATTAGGAAAGATTAGGTTTAAACTAGGGAGAAAAGTTTCTTCCTAACTCCCATAGAGCCAATGTATTCTTCAGATAGATGGGGGCAGCAGGGAGTGGACTTTGGACTCCAAGAGTCTGATCCTCTGCTGCATGGAAGGCCTAGCTGCCTCTCCTCTTCAGGCTTTGATATACCCGGGTACACCAGGGAATATCACTTGGGAACCTGGGTCAGCCTGCTTTTGACCTTCCCCACCAACAAAGACCCTGTCAGTGACCGGGGCCTTCCCACCAACCTCTGCTCTTTCCCATCCCCAGGGCTTACTTTGAGAAAACACATGAACAGCTCACACCCATGGTCAAGCAAGCTGGAACTCATCTGATGAACTTCTTAAGCAGTTTAATGAACCCTGAGAAACCAGATCCTGCTGCTAAGTGAGGTGTCGGGACCAGTCTTCCTACCCTAGCTGCCCACTGGCCAGCCCTAGAGCCCCTCTCCCTACCTTCTGCCTGCTTTCTCCAATAAATGCGGAAGGAGTCAAACTGTGCGCCTCATATCTTTGGGTGATTGGGCAAAGTAGCAGTGGGGGAGGAGTAGGAGGAAGGAAAAGGATAAATCTGTTTCTAAAAGGAGAAGGGGACAAGTTTTGGTGTTCCGTGTTAAGAAAGGACTGAAGAAACAAGTGCTGGGCATAGGCTTTGATAGCATAGATGTCTGTGATTTGTCTCCAAACCCAAAGAATGTCCCACATGAATGGCTCTGTAGCATTACTGAAGGACGTGGACATAAAGGAATGAAGGACTCTCAGACAACACCCCTTGACTTCGGGTCATAGGAAACAAGGGTGACCCTCAGAATTTCTTCTTAACCTTTCTTTGGAAAGATTGTGGGATTTTCTTGTTGTTTTTTTGTTTGTTTGTTTGTTTGTTTTTTAAAAAGCTCAGCAGTTGACTCAAGACACTATCTTTCCTTTTGGTTCTTGGGGTCACTGTTTCCTCTATCCCACAATAAAAAGAGTTAGTCTATCCCTCTTCTTCCAAAGTGCTCTAGTTTCTTCATCTAATACCTCTAATTTAGCTTCATGTGGTGATGCGTGCCTTTAATCCCAGCACTCAGGAACAGAAGTAGGTGGACCTTTGTGAGCTGAAGGCCAACCTGGTCTACAGAGTGAGTTCCAGAATAGCCAGGGCTGTTACACAGAGAAACATTGTCTCAAGGAAAGAAGGAAGAAGAAGGAAGAAGGAAGAAGGAAGAAGGAAGAAGGAAGAAGAAGAAGAAGAAGAAGAAGAAGAAGAAGAAGAAGAAGAAGA